AGCCGGAACCTCGGTGGGTCCAGGGCCAGGTGGGGTGATTGTGGAAGCCAAGTCCTTCCTGACTAAGGTGAGTGCCCTTCTGCCGGGGGAATCTCCCCCAGCCTTTTTGTGAACAGAGGACCTCAGTGGCTGGCAGGGCAGCAGGGTGGTTAGAGACATGGGCATGGGCTTTGGCATCAGACAGACCTGAAATCCCATCTGGGTTCTACCACTTCCTGGCTATGTGATGTTGGGGGAGTTCCTTAATTTCTCTAGCCCCACTGCCCAGACTGTACAGGAGGATCGATAGTGTGAACTGTGCCCCAGGCCCGTTGTGACACATGTGAAGCTCCCAGTACACCGCTAGGCCCCACATGTGTCCCTGTTGTGATGCCATTGAGCAGAAGTGTCCTCTGAATTGCCCAGTCCTCCCAGAGCCACACTGGGGCATATCTTTTCCGTGGGACAGGAGGGTGGTGGCCTTAATCTGCGGGCAGGTGCCCCTCCCAGGCCCAGGAAGAGTAGTGGGTAGGAACTGCCATTCAAAGCCTCAGCCCTGGTTTGTTTCTCCCCCCTCCCCTCCCACCCCCAAAGCCGCCCCCCTGTTCTTTCGGCATTCTCTATTCCTTCTCTCAGGCAGGCGGCTGAGCAGAAAAACAAATCAAAGTTGCCTTCGTGTCCTGAAGCCCGCGATGCTCCTGCAAAGCCATCCCTTGCGTCCCATTACCCACCCCAATAACTCTTGTATATGGAGTGTGAAATAATTAGCAGTGGCAAAAATAATTTAGGAAACAAGAAGAAACTAATTGTATAGGCTTGTTCGGGGAAAACACAGCCGACCAAAAAACCCACAGTGTAGGGAGACGTGGACAGACCAGCCAGCTCCCTGCTGGTCAAGCCCATGGGCAATCAAAGGACCTGCTAATTCTACATCTGCCCCTCCAAGAGGGGGCTGGCCTGTGCTGTTGCCAGGACAAGTGCCCTCATGGGCATAGAGGTGACTTCTCAAGACACATTTACGCCCCATCTATGCCATCCCAGGAAGGCAGATGGAGAGGGAGGTTGGGCAACCTGGAAGGGTCTCCTGCGGTCACATGGGCCTGGTATCCTCTCTGAACTTGAGCTGCAGTCGCCCACACGGTCCCCACATGCAGCAGGCCTGGAATGTTCCTCTTCCCTTGCCTGCCTGCCTTTGCCATTCAACTCTCCAGCCCCAACAGACACCCACTGCACATCAGCCCAACGGCAGCAGCACCATTAAATGCAATGCGGCGCTTCCCTGGGAAATGGGGGGAAACGTCGCGCCTTGCGTTTTATGGCTCTTCTAACTTTGAAAAGTTTGTTTCCTCCTTGGGCACTTTTCTGCCTCCTAAGCTCCCTTCCATCCTCCGCCTCATCTGCTCCTCACTTTCCGGGAGCTGGGAGGGGGTCAGGCACCCTCGTTTCCTTGGGCCAGATGAAAAGGAGTGAGGAAACCTGCACATTCTTGAATGGATGGTTTCAGGGGAAGGAAACAAGGGCCAGAGAGATGGAATTGTTGGCCTAAAGTCACAGTTGCCAGGAGGGTGGCTCAGGGTTGACCCAGGGCTCTCTTTCTGCCCCTTGCTGCTTCTTGCCTTCCCTACCTTGCTGGAGAACTGTCCTGCCCACTCAAGGTGTTCACCATGATCCCAGCTGAGCACCGTGGTCTCATATGCTCCCCTCAGTCACTACTCAAGGCCCAGAGACCCCTGATGGTCATCTGAGCGAGCACTAGGCACAGGTCGGGAGGAGGCCCCTCCCCTTCCCTGCTGCCCCTCACCTTAGATGGGTGCATTTGTGTTTGTCTAGAACTGATTTACTAGGTTGTTATTCGGGACAGAAATCTCACCTCTCTCAGTGCAAGCTCTTGTCTGCTATCTCCTCACTCATCTTCTCTGGTCTGATAACCTCCTAATTCATCCCCTGGCCTCCAGTGTCTCTGTTTCAGTCCAGCACAGTGATTGTCCTAAGGCCAGGTTCTGATCTGTCACTTCCTTGCTTTGAAATCCTCCATGACTTCCCATTTCCTCTAAAATCAGCGCACACTTCTCAGGCTTGCCTGCTGTGTAATACTGCTCTCTGCTATCCTCCTTAGTCAAGTCTCAGTGTTCAAGGGATCACTTTAAATCTGGCTCCTCCTAGAGAAGGCAGCTGTGAGAGAGCAGACCTGGGTTTATACTCGGCTGCTTGTCCCCTACTTCACTGTTTTCACAGGAATCACATTGGCTCCCACTGTGGCATGGCTGGTTCTCATCTCTCAGACAGACAGCTACCTGCTGAACACCATGACTAGGGGCACAGGGGCCCTCACCTTTAACTTCTGCAAAGAGGCCCCTGTTATGTGCCCACACCTGCCCATCCTCCTGAGTTCTGCCACACTGGTGATCAGCACCCCCTGAGCCAGAAACCCAGCAGTTCTACATTCCTCCCGCTTTATTCTCACCTACACCACAGCCATCTCCAAAGTGGATTCCTCCTGTCCACCAGCCCCTGCCCCTGCCCCTGCCCAGGTCCAGACCTCACCATCACTCGCCAAATTTGTGTTTCCTGCAGTTCCCGGGAGCTGTTACCTCCTCTCCACTTTTCCCTGCCGGGCTCCTCTGGGCCTCTCCTTTCTCCCACTTCTTTTCCCTGGCTTGGCTGAAGTCTGGTGCTGAGTTGCTATGGCATTTGAGACAGGCTGGGCTTGATCACTGCGTCTCTAAGGCCAGACTAAGACATTGGAAGCTGTGGGTGCCAGTGGAGATTGGGGTTGGTAAGTGCCAGCAAGGCAGTGGCATGTCTGTATCATCATGTCTGGAATCAGGACATGGGATGAGCCAGGGGAGAGTGTGTGAAGGCAGGATGGTGACTCTCCAGAGGCAGGCCCCTCTGGGCCCATTTGCTGTGCTAATTGCCTGACAGAATTACAGGGCAGGTGTTCAGGTCTTGGGCTGTGGTCTCATCACACGCTCAACAGCTGAGGTCTTTTGCGGAGTGGGGGTTGGGTGGAGAGCTACGGAGATAAGTGTGGAGAGGCACCCCCCTCACCTCCTGCTGGGCTGATGGATGGCACTAGGCATGCATAGGTAGGGCATGCCTGTTCTCCAGGCTGACAAATGCCACAGGTGCAGCTGCAGGGGACATGAGCCAGCTGCTCCCATCACATCTCTGTGTGTGCTGATCAAGGTCATGCTGTGAGCTCAAGTGGTCTGGTGGAGTGGGGGCCTGAAGCCCCCTTGCGGCCATTGGTTGGTCTCCTTAGCTAACCATCCCTTTCTAACTGGGGAAGCAGGAGGGATGGTGGGGAGGCCTCTTCCCTCTGAGCCAAGCCAGTTCAACTGTGCACGTGCCAACACCAACCCTGAGATCTAGCATCTGTATGCTTAGAGAGAGAAGGCTGATCTCTGCTGTGGCAGTTCAGCTGTCACTAGCGTCACCACTCTTCTGCTTCAACCTGTTCTTCTGCCTCCTGGGACTTCTGCATATACCACTCCTGCGCTAATGTGGTCTTCCCACCTCAAAGCCCCATCTCGATTGTTCTGGGATGTCATCAGTCTCCCTCCCACTGGCAGGGCTCAAGGGTTCAGCCATCAAAATGGACTCCAGCTTTTCTTTCCCCAACTCACTTGTACAAATATTAATTTAATGGAAGAATGTTATCAACTTTATGTCCCCCTCCTCCAATGAAAAGAAAACAAAGATTAGCACCTGCAACCACTTATCTGTAGTAGAATTTAGAGCATACCATTTTCACATGGAATTAATTTAAATTTAGAATATGTAGGTATTTTGAGTTCTGCAAAAAAGCACCACGAAGCTGGGACATCCAGGCACAGGGTGCCCTACCCATGTGCGAAAACCATGTGTGTGTGGTGAAAAAATCCAGGAATTGGCATCTGAGTTCCTGGCATCTTTCATTTGGTTGACCCAAGACCTGATCTATCTGAACCTCAGCGTTGTCACAGGTAATGAGAATAAAACTGATCAGACAGGGTGCTCCTAGGATTAGTGAGAGCAGGCATTGCATGACGCAGCAGGCACTCAATAAGTATTGAGTTCATCTGACTCAAGGTGGGGACCTTGAGAAAGACAAGTCAGCTAGGACACTGACAAACAATAAGAAGGCATAAGCCATATGATCTAGCAATTCTACTCCTAGGTATATGCCCCAAGGAATTAAAGATGGGTATTCAAACAAATACTTGTACATGCATGTTCTCAGCAACAGTATTCACAAAAGCCTAAAGTAGGAACAGCCTACATTTTCATCAGCTTATGAATGGATAAACAAAATGTGGTATATCCGTTCAATGGAACATTAGTCAGCCATCAAAAAGAAGATAATTCTGACATACACTATAATGTGGATGAACTTTGAAATATGCTCAGTGAAAGAAGCCAGACACAAGAGGTCACATATTATTGATTCCATTTATAGGAAACATCCAGAATAAGTAAATCCATGGAGATAGAAGATTAGTGGTTACCAGGGATTGGGAGGAGGTAGGAATGGGGTATAACTGTCTAATGCATATGGAGGTTTCCTTCTAGGGTGATGAATATGTCTCAGAACTGGAGACATGATAGTTGCACAACATAGAGATGGTACTAAATGCCACTGAACTGTACACTCTAACATGGTTAATGTTTAAGAGAAAAGAAGAGTAAAGAAAAGTAAGCATGGGGGAAATGAAAAACTTTACCCTCCCCTGGTCCCACGATATTCCAGCCCAGGATCCTCAGTGCACAGTTCCTCAGTGCATGCCAGGCTTCTCCTTGTTCAACCTGGCCAAATGTTACTTGGACCCAACAGCCCAAAGGCTGCAGGGACCCCAGCCTTCTTCCCCAGAAGCTGGCATTGATCCACTGTGTAGATTTGTCTCCTTGGCACTTGGGTGCCTCAGCTCTCCTGCTCTTCTAGGCTTCCTTAGTGACCCCAGCAGGCTTCCATCAGCCACAGAGGTTTCCCTCACTTCTAGAGGCAGCCCTGTGCAATCCATCTCTGCTCTCTACCCCACTAGGATGGTCTGAAGTCTCATCGTGATCTCCCTGCTTACAGAACGAAACTCGATTTGTCCTTGGCCCTTGCCCTGCCTTTCTACATGCCTGGTGGTCTGAGGGGATGGACTTCATGGTGCCAAAGTTTCTCCTTGTAGAATGGTTCAGCAGTAACTTCTCTGCCCTGGGCTTCTGCTTTCTCCTATCTTTTAGGGCTTCCTTTGGAAACATCTACCCTTCCTACTCCAGGTGCTCTCACTTGGCCGTGCACATGCTCCCCCTTTCACCACAAAACGGACACATCCAGGAAAATGTGTCAACAGTCAGTGTTGGCCCAGGGGCTGTGCCCGAGAATGACATTGGAGGTGGCCTTCTGGAGGCAGCTCTGCCTTCCTGGATGGTCTGTTTTCTGTTCCATAGAGTAACTTGTGCAGCCTGTAGGCCATTTCCCAGGGCCACTGTTTGTCACTCATTACCCCATCTCCTGGTCATCACCATCCCCACCAGAAGGTGCCTTCCTGTGTCCCCCATCCCCCAGCAGTGCTCTGTAATGATTTGTTGAAAGACTGAATGATGAATAAATAAAGGGGTGGATGGTCTCTTTCAGGACCTTTCACCAGCCTCTTCCTTCCTTAAAATCCTGGCGTGTTGGAAGCCGCAATCTCGCATATCCTTAGTTACTCACTCATCCATCTTGCCACAGGCAAGCATCAGCTGCCCTCCACAGGCAGGCTCTTTGTTCGGCCATGTGCCCACTGTGGGCTGCCCGCATGAGCATGTGAGCCTTGATGCCTCCAGCAAGCCAAGCTTCCTGGGGCACGGTTGGGTCTCCCCGCATCTGCGTCCCCTGCACAAGACTCTAGCCCATCAAGGTCAGCCCCGAAGGCCTTGACAGTCCCCAGGCTCTCCTCTCAGGCCCAGCTCAGCCCTGGGCCTCCCTCAGGACTTGAATCCTAGTCTCGCTCACCCACACTTCACTCTCCCTTCCTCAAACTCAAGTTGTGACACTCTTGGTCTAATATACCCATTCGACACACTCCTCACACTGCCACTGACTATCCGGGTGTGAATCTCCTCCAGCTGTGAGTGCCATAGGGTGGGAGCCCAGGCTTCTTCATCTCTGCATCCATGGCAGCACTCAGTGCTCAGTCAACATCTCCTGATGGTAAGGAAGGAGGTAGGTGGGATAAGTTGCTGGTTATCCTTTCCCTCATGCTCTCTGCTCTTTTTCTTTCATTCTTTCTTTCTTCTTTTTTATAAAGCTGGAGGGAATACAACTTCAGCATCTCCACCCACTTTATAAATACTTTGACAAATGGTTTCTCTCCTGCCATGCTTACCCCAAGCAGGGGCATCTGTCATTTTGGAAAGCAACTGTTACAGCCCCTCCGACCTTTAATGCAGAGTCAGCGGCTGAGGCTGGGGGTGGGGGTAGAGGAGGGGGCAGCCACGACTGCAGTTCATCAGGCCCAGAATTTAAAAAAAGAAAGAAAGAAAGACAGAAAAAACCCTACACAACTCACAGAGTAATTGCTGTTTCCTTGGCAACAAAGCAGCAGTCTGGGGCCCAGTGCTCCGCTGTCCTTCGCTGGGCTGGGAGGGCCAGGGACAGTTGGGGGGTGGGGGGCGAGAGTGTTTCCCTTCTCCCGTGGCCCTTGGAAGAGGATCTGTCGTCCAGTCACTCTTCAGCCACTGTTCTTGTTTTCTGTTGGTCTCTTGGCTGCAGTTCATAATATCCAGGCCAATGTCCATGTGCCGAGCGTGATGGGGCCCTGTCAGCCACCCACCCACCCTCCAAGATGAGTTCCGTGGAGCTGCAGCCCCTCTGAAAGCCCAGGCACCATTTGAGGCAGCATTATCTTCTTTCCTCCTCCTCTTTTTCTTCCTCCTGTTCCCTTATTTTCTCTTTCGTTTCTCCCTCCTCCTCCGTTTTCCTTCTTTTCCTTTATCTTCCCTTTCTCCTCATGCTTCATTTTCCTCCTCTTCTTCCTCTTTCTCTTTCTTCTCTTCCTTTTCTTCCTCCTCCATCTCCTGTCCTTCCTTCTTCCATCCTTCATCTTGACACCTTTCTCGTCTTCCTCTTTCTCTTGTTCTTTTTCCTCCTCCTCTTCCTCTTTGTCCTCTTCTTCCTCCTCCTTCTCCATCTCTTTCTTCTCCTCCTCTTCTTTCTTCTATTCTTTATCTTTGACTCCTTTCTCTTTTTCTTCCTCCTCCTCCCCTTTCTCCTTCTTCCCTCCTGCTTTCTCTTTCTTTCCTTCCCTTTAGTCCTTCTACCCTTTCTCGTATGCTTTCCTTTCTCCTCTTGTTCTTCTTCCTCATCTTTCTGTTCCTCTTCTTTCTTCTCTCTCCTCCTCCTTCTCCTCTCTGCCCTTGTCTTTCTACAAACGCCCTTCTCCTAAGAGCTCTGTGGTGTCGTTGGCCTTCAGGGCCCATGGATGACAGCAGAGAGCTGGGGAATGGAAATTTTGAGGAGTTTGGGGTCTCAGAGGGTGGGAGATGCATGATGGATCTCAGGGGCACAGGAGACCCAGGCAAAAGTGAGAAAAGTGCCTTCTCTAGAGGTTTGGGAGAAGAGGTGAAACCCACAACCTTCCCTAGCACCCACCAACCACCTGGTCCAGTCGTGTGTGGTGCTGCTGCGGGAACTGGGAATGGAACGACAGCCCTTTGTTCCCTGCCTCAATATGGATCGCTTTGTCTTCCAAGGAAAGCTCTGTGGTATCCCCCATTCTAGAAAGCGTCTCCCAGTTCTGCCAGCTCTAATGGCCCATCCTTACTCTGCCACATGCAGGACCTTCTCTTTCAATCCATGTCTGTCCTCTGGGAGGTGGGATGGACTCCCAGGCACAGTGTGAGCAAACTGAGAGTTGGCGAAAGCCTCATTCTTACAGGCTCCTCTGTGTCCAGCAGGTGTTCAGCAAATGTGTGTCCATGGATGGGCAGCAATGTGAGTTCCTCTAGTCTGAGCTTTACTTTCCAAAGAGAGAGGCATGGAGAACCACTGGGCAGGGGCACAGACCATTCTTATGGAATAGATTTGATTTCTCCATTCTTCCATTCACTCTAGAGCCTCTTTAGTCTGCACCAACCTTCTCTTTTCTAGCTCTACCTACTAAGCTTCTGTCAAGAATATCTTCTTACTGTTCCTGAGACACACCTGCTCATTACTGCCACATTGTCCATGCTCATACTGGTTCCAGCTCCTGCAATACCCTCCCTAGCACTTTCTGCTTATTTTTATCCAACCTGTACTTTCAGGCCAACCCCCAGTGCTCCCTCCTCTATGGAGCCTCCCTGAAGGGTTCATGAACTTCTGCATCCCCCGTCTTGCTCCAGCAGTTACAGTCCTAACTATCTCTCTTGTGTTGTCCTCTGATTGGTTCATGAGGCCCTAACTTTGTCCTTCTTCCCTTCTGGGTGGTGGCATGTGTGTGTGTGTGTGTGTGTGTGTGTGTGTGTGTGTGTACGTGTATACCTCTGACAGAGGCATGGGATGGCAACTTCTGAGGTGATGGCTCTACCAAGTCCAACAAACATAGATGCTTAGGGAAAGTCCCTAGAAATGTGGAGACACAGATCTCTCTGTTCTACTGGCCAGCAGAGCACTGGGTGCCTGGTACCTCTTTCTGCATTTCCCCTACCCTGACCCATCTCAAACAACCAGAGGCTCTGATGCTCTCTGGCCCTGGTGTTCAAGGTAATCTGCTCCACTTCTCCCGTTACATGAGGGGTCCTTGACTAACAGCTGAAAGTATGGCCCTTTTCCCTTCTCTCTCCTAGGATGAGGTCATTACAACAGGAACCAAAGCTTCCTGCAAAAGCAGCACTGTTTTCTGGCCCAGGGTTTTCATGGAATTCATAGGTTAGGACTTCTTCACAGTATGGCATATCACCAGCAAACATTTATTGAACACTTACTGCATGCATGGCTTTGCCGCTGGATGCTGATGAGAAGGAAAAGAGTTTCTTCCGAGAGCCTGGTATCTGACCTCAGGGAGCTCAGAGCCCCCTTGAAGAGTGAAGCAGACACAAACAGACAATCGCACGAGGAATCGGAGGAGAGTGAAACCAACCAATTGAGCTCCTTGTCCCAAGCCCAAGGAGCCCTGGGTGACAAACAAACAGCTTGAGAAAAGCAAAGGGAATTAGAATTTTAAAAACCTTCCGGTGGTAATAAAATCTGGGGTATAAAATGGGTTAGGAAATTTATTTTTTCAATATATGATTTTTCCCCCTCTCCTTTGAAAATCCACATATCTATTCTGCTTCAGGTTGGGGCTCCTTTAAACGGGTTTATTAAAAAAATCATTTACTGTGGGCTTTTCAGTTCAACTTTAACTGGACCGGGTGGAAATTAAAAAAAGGATATTTTAAAAATAAATTATATAAATTACAGCCCTAATTATAAAGGAACTTTTAAAAATGTATCCAGGCATTAAAAGAAAATCTTTTTTTAAAAAAATGCCCCATTTCTCTGTTCCATTGCGGGAACATAATTTAGATACTTTTAACAAATCCTCATCCTTTGGAAGAAGCGGGCTCTCCAGGCCCATTTGCCTGTGTCTCTTTCTGAGTGCTATTATTATTTGATAACTCTGGGCTTAAATCTGCATGAGAGCCAATTATCTCTCTTTGTCATCAAGCAGGCTTGCTGTTCGGCAGTGGTTTTTATAGTACAGTAAAAGCCTTAAGGAGCCTGGAGGAGGGGGATTTGCAGTTCAGATTACACTGCATCTTGCCTCCCCAAATGCCTTTCCTTATTCCCTTTTCTGTTTTTGCTTTTCATCCCTGACTGGTGCAACAAGTTTTCCCCTCCTGGCTGCTCTGCAGTGTCTGCCCCTGAGCTTCTCCCCAGCCTGCCTACCCTCTGCCAGTGCTTTCCTTGAGGATCCCATCCTATCAAGGGTCTTTCTATCTTTGGCAGGCCTAGGCTTCCTGAACACAAGTGGTAGGAACTGGCATTTCTTGGCCCACCCTCCAGTAGAGGCCTAAAACAATGGTCACATTCTGCTTTCTTAACTAGTGGAGGTTGCATCAAGACCATAATGCTGGAG